CAAGCCCTTTTTGCCCGACGTATTGGGCGGAGAATACATGCACACACCGCACAACAATTTCGCGTGACTGAATTGTGGAACATGTGTGCCCACGCATTTGAAGTTTCTTGAACACACTAGTGAACTGCGGTGGCAAACTCTGACATGTTCAGAGGTTCATTCATTTGAACACCAGCGTCTGCTGGAGCTAGAAACTTCCATGTTTACGTAGCGTATTAGTTAAAGCTTGTTGGCTGACGATAAGCATCCTAGTGACTTCGTTAGGCTAATTTCCTTCGCCAACGTAATCTTTGGACGCATCCCATTGGTCGATGCAAATTCTGTGCGCTATCGTGTACAGTACACTCCTATGGGTCGTTTCTGTTGAACAGTGATCGTGCATCAGGGCCTCAGAAGTCAGGCCAAAAAGGCCTGAAAGCCTGTATATCAGGGTGTTTTCCAGGGGTCGGCCTGATTTTTCAGGTTTCGATTTTCCCTTTCCCTGATTTCTAGGGGCCCTTTTTTTGCTAGGCCCGATTTATAGTATGTTCTTGTTACATTTACCCTGATTAATCAGCCTTAACAAAAATTAGGCTTGAAACCGAAACCTGCCCCCCCCCCCCCACCCCCCCAAAATCACGCTTGGCGTGGGGCCCTAACTCTGCATGCTGGAGCACTTGTGAGGGGCGTGATTGGTCCTTCACCTAAATCAGCGGGCCTAGATGGAGTCGAGATAGAGCACGTGTGAGGAGAGTTCTGAGTGGTCCTTAGCCAAATTTCCAGCAGCACTGAAGCTGTGTTGGAACGTGAGTCGCTGCAGTGATTGGTCCTTGGTGAGTTTAGTGAACTTTGACCAATCGCCAAGGAGATGCTGTAGAGATTGTATCACCCACACAATCTGCAGCGGCAGGAATGCATCTGCCTGGTCAACATGCCGTTATGCGTGCATGCATGCCACGTCACGCTTGTCGTTCCCCCACTCACACCGTCCCCATCGAACTGGTCCTGGGGGACCACCTGTTTCATCTGATTCTTTACAGCCAGGTCGACCACTTCTGCTGCACTCTCGGCATGCTGGTCTTGCTGCGCGTTGGATTAGATGCTCGGAGTCGTGTCTCTACCACTCTAGTTTAGCCTCCTCTCGCCCCTACACGCCCGTCATGAGCGATGACGAGGGGTGGCAACTGCAAGGGTCTAGACGTCGCAGCCCAAAGGCGTCGACTAGGCCAGCGACTGCTCAGCCAGGTCTGCAGTCGGCACTAGATCTCCTGGTCTGTCCGAGCACTTCAGCGTACAAGTGGAGGTTGGATGACATGTGTAACGATCCGTTACCGCTGCTGCCACATAGCCCCGCGCATGAGCCTGCCCGAGTAGTTTCTCAGCTGCCTAGCCCGTGAACGTGACAGGCAGGTCGATGCCGGTGCAGAGCAGCTCGCCGCAAGTTGCTTCGAATTTGCTGCTACACCCTCACAGTCCACCGCGAGTTTCTGCTCGGACGTCGGAGGCCCCTCGCAGCCCCTACCGAGACGCTGTAATTTCGCAGCCATAGCATCGCAGCCTGACGCAAGGTGCTGATCTACTGCCGCTGCCTCGAAGCCCGCCGCGAGACAATTCTCCCCTCCCCCCTCTGCCTAGCAGCCCATATCGCGATGCACAGATATCGCAACCTTGCCATCGAAGCCCTCCGCGTAGTGTGGCTCGTTCGTTGCCGTTGCGGCACAGCCCCCCGCGTGATGCTGCTCGATCATCGCAGTCGCAGTGGAGCCCGCCGCGCAATGCTGCTCGATCGTCGTAGCTGCAGTGGAGCCCGCCGCGCGATGCTGGTCGTTTGTCGCCGTCACAGCACAGCCCTGGGCATACGCATGTCGCCATCGGCGCACCTTCTATCGCGTGATGCTGGACGTCACTCCCTGTCCCAGCGTAGCTAAGGGCGAGACGCCGCATGCATGTCGCCGTTGGTGCGCAGCCCGTTACGTGATGCCGTACGAAGGTCGCCGCCACAAGCTCAGGGTCTGCACGGTGAAGGCTGTCTCGCTACTGACTCTACTGCCGTCGGGATTGGAGTGCAGTCGTCTATGCCGACGTCACCGCCGAAACGGACGCATCGCTAGGCGTTGCTCAGCTTTTGTTTACCGTCCGTTGTCAAGAAGCATCCCGCCGCTGTTACCTTCACGACATCACGGGCGACAGTGTGTTCGAGAAGGCACCGAGTATCTCGTGTTGCGTCAGTGGCATCACCATTGCTGGCACAGTCCAGCGGCCGTGTGGAGCACCCGTCCATCCGTTCGGCGACAACCACGCCAGTGGCTGGGACCCCAACCGCCGGCCCATCCTCAGCGTCCCCAACCGCCGGCCCGTCCTCAGCGCCGCCACTGGAGTTGCGCATTCAAGGATCTGATCACACAGATAAGGAGTTTAGCAAGGCTGCTAAACTATTATATCTTCAAGCCCTACAGAGTTTTAAGTCGGATTGGCACGAGCGGTTTCCATGGTTGCTGCTTTGTCATACTAAAACCGGCCTCCCCTCTCTCAAATGCAGCCTATTCTGAGCACGGTGTGGTCGGAACCAGGTATGGCAGCAAAGGGGAGGGCAGCGTGGACGTTCGAACCCAGGCCATGAAGAAGCACGCTCGCACCACACGTCACCAGGCCTACATGAAGTCGTAGTAGAAGGCAATGGAGGATGCGGTGAAGCAGAAGAAGATCTTCGACTTCCCACAAGCCAAAGATCTAGAGAAGGGGAGACTCATCGCACTCCTGTGGGTCCTCCATTTCATCTGCCAGTGTGATGTGCCCATTAGTACATGGGTGAAGCTGGTACGCTTCCTCTCCTGACGAAAATTCCCCAGCTTCCCAAAGAAGAGCTACGGGACGTACTTTACCACGTGAGTTCACCTATATGCGTTTCTGTTGTGGTTGGGACTTCGTGCTTTATGCCCTTGTTGCAAGCTCCCTTCGTATACCCGCCTTTTTGTCTTCTAACACCAGCAGTTCTTTGTTGACCGTGAGCCGAGATCGCCTCTGGCCCTCCCGCCCATATTCATGGAAGGTACGGCTTCGCCCAGCTTATGCACTGCACAACGGGGTGGCTCTATAACTCACAGATGCGCCATATACACGCTAGCCCGTTCATTGGCCTCTCCTGTGAGGAGTCGACCGATCGCACCAGGGGGAAACACTTAATCCTTTTTGCAACATTTATGCGTGATGGCCATGCAGTAACTGAGTTTCTAGGTCTGCTTACGCTGGATCGATGTGATGCAGCCTCTATTCATGCCCTCATTCAAAAGCACCTTTCCAAGATCGGATTTTCTCCAAAGAAGATTTCGGGCATCAGCACGGATGGCTCTGCCATCATGATGGGCTCCACCAGCGGGCTGGTGACACGCATGCGAATGAAGATACCTCACCTGGTGTCTTCACACTGCATTGCCCACAAGTATGCATCTCACCGTCCTAGATTTCGACACATGCATGGTGATCCTGAACGCGGCGCCGTTTGCACAAGGCTTATCCCCCGTTGTTGCCTACTGCCCGAGCTCACTCACCCCCGAGCTCACCTACTACCGTGTTACATGTTGAGTCGCACGCCTGAATTTCTGCCAATCCCTGCCTCACCTTCCTGCAGAGAGGCGTTGACGGCTAAGGATGCAGGAACAAGTGTACCTGAGCTCGCCATCGTTGACAAGGTCATCCGCACCGTCGCCGAACTATTAGCCCGATCCGGCAACTGACACGCGCGGTTCAAGGAGCTTCAGGACAACTTCACGCAGACCAACCTCCGGATTTAGTGTATTTATAACATACACTAGTTGTCTCGAGGTGATGCAGTTGGCTGGCTTGTTGCTCTCCTTCCAGCAGTGGTCATTCTACTCGAATATGATGACGCCATGTACAACATCGTTAAGAGCTACAAATTTCACTTCTGTTTGTACTTCCTTGCTGACATTCTCACCTTGATGAACAGCCTCAACAAAGCCTTTCAAGCCCGGCAGGTCGGTTAGGAGACATGCTGTCTAGTTTTGTGGTCTCATTGTGTGTGCCTCTCACCTCTTTGAAGCCTGTTTGCCCTACAGATCGACTTGACAGTGGTGCATGGACCCGTCAGGTGAATGGTGGTGTACATCAAACAGCGATACATGGAGTGCGGCACCAACTTCAGCGGAGGCAACTCCCACTCCTCACTGCATTCATCAAGGTGCACCAAACAAGCCGAGATGTCCCAGTAAAGGGCTGGAACTCCAGCGGTGAGGAGGTGCAGCACAAGTTTGAGCTGCACGACGAAAGCATGGATGGGAACCACGGCGAGTGCTGCAGCGTCTACATGCGGTTTGCGAAGGCATCGGCCGAAAACATCATCGAGCGTATTGGAGACCTCGAGAAGCTCACAGGCTGCATGCTCTTCACCCCTGACGCCTGGCCACCTGGGTGGAAGGAGCGCAACTCCCAGTGCATGGACTGGCTGCAGGCGTTGTTCGACATCTTCCGGGAAGCTGGCCGGAGAGAGGTCTTACCTGGTGAGTTCGCGCTCAGTTCATCCTCATGACATTGTGTGTTATACTGTGGTATTGTTAAGAAACAGGCAGAACCAGAGTTAATACTTGTATCACTGTGGCTCGCATCCCGCCCGTACCTTGGTTTTCTTACAGTGATTAAAAGTCTAGCCTTACACACCTTATTATACTGCCCTTTTCCCCCACCAACCATGCCCTGCAGGAGTGAACAAGCGGGCAGCAACCAAGGAGCTGCCAGTCCTGATCACCCTGTTGAAGGAGGCACCTGTGGGGGAGCGGAAGTTCAATGAAGGGCTTGCTGCGATGCTGAATATGATTGACTGGCTGCAGGCATACCCGAACTTGGGCCGCCTATGGGTGGCAGTGGCGGTGCTGCCCCTCAGCACGGTGGAGTGCGAGAGGGGTTTCAGCCGCCAAAACATCATCAAGAGCTGGAGCCGTGGCAGCTTGGGCAATGCGACACTGGAAGACTTGATGAGTATGGCGCTTCTCAACTACGACCCGGAGTGGGAAGACGTGGTGAAGGAGTTTCGGGGGAGGAAGAGGAAGCCTTTCTCAACACGGATCCGCCCCCGCTGCCGTGTGAAGAACGTGAAGGGAAAGGAGAAGGTTGTGGAGGAGGAGGAGGAGGAGGAGGAGGAGGAGGAGGAGGAGGAGGAGGAGGAGGAGGAGGAGGAGGAGGAGGAGGAGGAGGAGGAGGAGGAGGAGGAGGAGGAGGAGGAGGAGGAGGAGGCGGAGTCAGAGGGGGACGAGGGGGAGGTGGGGGAGGAGGGGGAGGAGGGGGAGGGGGTGGAGGAGGGGGAGGAAGAGGGTGGTGAGGAGATGGAAGAGGACGAGGATGAAGGCCTGGCAGAAGGGGAGCAGTGCAGCAGCGGTGGTGGTGACTGGGAGGATGAGTGAGTGAGCACCAGCAACAGCACCTGAACCAAAGTGACTATGCTTTGTGGCAACACCAGCTGCAGCCATGAACAGATTATGGGGCCAGGTGATGTGTTGGCCTGTCTATTTTAAGTGAATATCAAATCTTGCACGTTGCATGACTTGCTAGAAGCAAGATGAAAGCATACACTAATCAGGGTAGTCGAAAGCGTAGGCTTGGCTAGTCAGCCTTGAAAATTTTGGGGCCTGATAAAATATGCCACTTCCAAACCCCAACCTTGAAAACTATAGGCTGTCACAAGGGTCACCCTGAGGCTTCAGCCCCCCCAAAACCAATCTGAGGGCCTTTCTGTCAAACATATATAGTTTATGTTTGTATAGACTGTATAGGTTCGTATCTTAGAGGGTACAACACTTAGGCTTATACCCTTGTACTGTTTTCTCTCGACATTCAAATTCTACGCTAAGATGGTATCACGCTTGGTAGGTAGGTCCCGCCGCCCACGCTTCCGCCCTAGGCCCTCGTCGCGCCGCCCCTACCTAGTCGCGCCCATTCCTAGCCGGCCCCCTGGGCCGTCGCGCCCGTCCTAGCCAGCCCCCTGAGCCGTCGCGCCCATTCCTAGCCGGCCCCTTGAGCCGTCGCGCTCGATCCTAGCTGCCCCCCCCCCCCCTGAGTCGCCGCGCTTGTCCTAGCCGGCCCCTTGAGCCGTCGCGCCCGTCCTAGGCGGCCCCCTGAGTCGTCGCGCCCGTCCTAGCCGGCCCCCTGAGCCGTCGCGCCCGTTCCTAGCCCGCCCCCTAAGCCATCGCGCCCGTTCCTAGCCGGCCCCCTGAGCCGTCGTGCCCATCCTAGCCAGCCCCTTGAGCCGTCGCGCCTGTCCTAGCCGGCCCCCAGAGCCGTCGCGCCCGTTCCTAGCCGGCCCCCTGAGCCGTTGCGCCCGTTCCTAGTCGGCCCCCTGAGCCGTCGCGCCCGTCCTAGCTGGCCCCCTGAGTCGTCGCGCCCGTTCCTAGCCGGCCCCCTAAGCCGTCGCGCCCGTCCTAGCCGGCCCCCTGAGCCGTCGCGCCCATTCCTAGCCGGCCCCCTGAGCCGTCGCGCCCGTCCTAGCCGGTCCTCACGCCTGTCCTAACTGGCCCCCGCGCCCGTACTAGCTGGCTCTCGTGCCCTGCCTAGCCGGCCCTCGCGCCCATCCTGCCGGCCCTTACGCCCGTCCGAGCCGCCCCTCGTGCCTCGTTCATGTCGGCCCCTAACGCCAGTTCCTGAGGTGCGCACGCTCGTCTCAGCTCGCCTCAGCCGGCCCACACGCTCGTCCTCGTCGGTCCGAAGCGCTCGTCCTAGCCAGCTCCTCCCCTCCTACTGCCCGTCCTAGCCGGCTCCTCGTCCCCCAGCACGCCCGTTCCTAGCCGGCTACTTGCCCGTTGCTCACTGGCCCCCGTGCCTGTACCTGCTCGGCCCGGTACCGCTCTGCACTGCGTCGCTGCTGCATCGCTCCTGATGGCGGACTCTGTGCTCCGCTTCAACCCAGAGGGACAGCCGATCAAGTTTGACGCGTGGCTTGTCGACCTCCGGCGTCACCTCACTGGTCGGCGGCAGGACGGCCACTCCCTAGCGGTCCATCTTGACGGTACGCTACCCTTCCCTGACCCCCCTCGTCCCCTGCCCGCTGACCCCTCGTCCGATGACCATGATTACGCCGCAGCTGCTACCCTTGCCCCCCCAGTCTGGCTATCACGTCACGAAGTCGCGCAGCTTGCGATCAGTCATGCCCTCCCCCTGTCTGAGCGCCCACAATTTAGGTCATTCACAACTACGCAGGAATTTCTATACGCCGTCATCAAGCGCTGTTCCACACCGCCCGCTGCCTCTGTAGGTCACCTGATCGTGCCGATGCTCTTCCCTGACCTTGCGTCCTTCCCTAATGTCGCTGACCTTGCCACCCACCTGCGCACGATAGACGCGACCTGGCGTGCTGCCTGCACTGAGACCCAGCTTAGAGCCTTTCAGCCGCCCCTCTGCTCTGCCCTCTACTTGCTTGCCACCCACCTCCCTGATCGTCTTGCTACTGCACGCGACCACTTCCTTAGCATCCACCCCGGTGACCTCACCCTCACTGACTTTGTCGACACCCTGACTGCCATAGAGACCCGCCAGTGCTCTATCGCCCAGACAAGCGACACTGTGCCGCTCCCTATCTTTCAGGGTTGTGCCCCCGCTCAGTGCACCTTCTCCGACGGTTCTGCTGCTGTGGCTGAGTCTGCAGCTGCAGCGCAAATCCGATCCGGGAAGGGCCGCCGCCCCAAGGTTGGGGCGCAGCAATGGGGGTGGCGGTGCAGGTGGAGGTGGTGGTGGGGTCGGGCCGTCTAGTGGTAGCGCTGACGAGGGAACCTTGACAGGTGCAGCCGAGCAGCCGTCTCAGCAGCCGCAGGTGTCGCAGCCGGACACGCACCAGTTGCAGCAGCAGCCCTCACACCAGCCGCAGCAGTCGCAGCAGCCACAGCAGTCGCAGCAGCCGCAGCAGCAGAGGCGGACTGGTGGACCCCCTCCCGAGTGGCCTGGCGCTGGTGGTGGCGGTGGACGTGGTGGTCATGCGCGTGGTGGGCTGCCAAGTGGCGGTTCGGGTGACGCGCGCTGTCAGTACCAGCTCTAGACCGGTCCTCGCCGTGGTTTTGTTTGCGGTAAGATCGGTCACACCTCCGTCCGCTGTTTCCGTCGCCTGGACGACCTATTTCGTCCGCACTTCGGCCCGTCGCCCGACCTCCCCGACTGGCATAGCTTACTACGCCGTAGCGTTCAGATCTTTGATATGGACATGGATGAGATTGTTGCTGCCCTGCCCTGCATGTGACTCCACTACGCTGCTCGGTGTTTCTTCCGTAACTCCACTACGCTGACGCCTCTTGCTACCGCTGCTGCAATTTCTCTTGCCAACCCCTCCTCCGGCCCGGTAGTCGCTCGCAGTTCCACCACCCTTCTCTGTCCGGTGGTTCCTTCGGGCTCTCTTACAGGCCTGCACATCCCCTTCTTCTCCAGGAACCTAGTTGGTGTCGGCTGCCTCCAAGACCTTGGCGTCACCACTACGTTCCCTGGTCACGAGCGGTACGCTGTCTGTACCGAGACCGCCACTGGTGCCCCCCTCAATACATTCCCCCGGGACCCGGTGTCCGGCCTGTTCACACTGGACACTGCGACCCCCCTGGTAGGGACGTCTTCTCAGGTAGCTGTGTCTCCCCAGGTTGATGCGGCCTACTCATGTCGGTCGCTCACTCACCCGACACTCCTGTGGCATCACCGTCTAGGTCACCCCGCCCTCCCGCGTCTGCGTCACATGTCACAGCACGGTCTGGTCCAAGATCTCTTAGGGTCGTTCCCTGAGTTGCCCTCCTCCCGAGCACCACCGTGCACGCCCTGTGTCGAGGGTCGGCTCCGCCGTGCCCCTCACTCCTCCTCGTTCCCCCATACCGCCGCACCGTTACAGACTCTGCACATGGACGTCTGGGGCCCCGCCCCCGTCCATGGGCTGCGTCGAGAACGCTACTTCCTAGTGCTAGTCGACGACTACACGCGCTACACCACAATATTTCCCCTGGAGCGGAAGGTCGATTTGCCTGACGTTCTTATCCCATGGCTTGTCTCTGCGCATGTCCACCGCGGTTTCCCTGTCTTGCGTCTACACTCCGATCGTGGTGGCGAGTTTGCCTTTGGTGTCCTTGGTTGTTTCTGTCGTGCGGAGGGCATCACCCAGACGTTCACCTTGTCGGACTCCCCACAGCAGAATGGGGTCACTGAGCGACGCATCGGCTTGGTCATCGAGGTGGCCCGTACCTCCATGATCCATGCCGGTGCACCCGATTTTCTGTGGCCGTTCGCTGTTCGCTACGCCGCTCACCAGCTTAACCTGTGGCCGCACCCCCAGTAGTTGCAGGTTTCGCCGACCCTTCTTTGGTCCGGGTCTCCTGGTGACGCGTCTGTGTTCCACGTCTGGGGCTGCCTTGCTCACGTTCGTGCATCTGGCAGGGACAAGCTCACTGCCCGCACCCTCCCTTGTGTCTTCCTCTGTTTCCCCCTTGACGCGTCCAGCTGGCACTTCTACCACCCGCCGTCTCACCGGTTCTTTCACTCCCGTAATGTCACATTTGATGCGTCTGTCTCCTTCTACCGCCGCTTACTCCCGGTTACTCCCCCCGTTACTCCCCCCTTGTTCCTGGTCACCCCTTCCCCGGTCGACCCTGTCCCTCCCCCTTCCCCTCCCCGTCTTGCACCATCAGGAGTGTCTCACGTCACTCCCCTCCCGTCGGTTGTCCCGGTCGAGGAGTCTGCTAACTCAGGTGACATTGCGGCGCAGTCCTCGCCACCTGCCCCTTCCTAGGCGTCTCCTCCTCCACCGTCTTTGCAGCCGCCGTCCCCGCCGCTGTCGCAACCGTCGTCACCGCCACCGCAGCCGTCACCGCAGCCGTTCCCTTCCCCGGACTCGTCTTCGGCTCGTCTTCCTCCTCGTTCCCCTCCTGTGTCCCCGCCTCTGTCTCCTGACCTGACGCCTGCGTCTCACGTCAGGTCTCGTCGTCCCTCCCGTGCTCGCCCCGTCTCCCCTGTCCCGCGCTCTCATCCTATGTTGCTTCGTTCTAACGCATCTCGTTCTCCACTACTACCGTCACCGCCTCCGTCCTCCCTTCTTGTTGCGCCTCACCCCCTATCTGACTACCTTCACGCCGCTCGTCCTCTTGTTCCTCGGGTCCTTGCCTCTCTCGTTACCGACCCGTCTTTCCCGGTCTCGTGTCTCGACGCTCTTGTCGCTACGGTTGCTGACTTCGCCTCTACTCGCCGCCTTGACTACGCCACCGCTTTGGTCTCTGACCTTGCCTGTCCTCCGTCTGTCGGGGGTGCTCCTGCCCTCGGCAGTGACGTCCTGGAGGACCGTCAGTACGAGCTTGCTTTCCTGTCCGAGGCTCCTCCGCATCTCTGTTCCATGCTGTTAGTCCCTGAGGGTGACCCAGACGCTTTCGACATCCCGACCCCTCGCACTTACGCTGAGGCGACCTCGGAACCTTGGGCCTCT